CCTTTATAGGTAACTACCTGCTTTGCTCTTGCTGCTTTTAATATACTCTCTTTGTCTTTTGCTCTTGGAATTTTAATTATGATGTGTCTTTGTGAGGTCCTCTTTGGATTTCTTTTGTTTGGGATTCTGTGCGCTTCCTGGACTTGTAAGTCTATTTCTTTCACCAGGTGGGGGAAGTTTTCTGTCACTATTTCTTCCAATATGTTTTTGGTATCTTGCTCTCTCTCTTCTTCTGGGACCCCCATAATTCTGATGTTGGTTGGCTTGAAATTGTCCCAAAGGTTTCTTACATTATTTTCAACTTTCTGGATTCTCTTGTCTTCTTGCTTCTGTGGAGGAGTGTCTTCTGGCTCTTTATGTTCTAAATCTTTGACTTGATGCTTGCAATCTTCCATTCTGTTTTTAGGACTCTGTAAAATATTTTTTATTTCAGACAATATATTCTTTATTTCTAGTTCATCCCTTTTTATTTCTAGTTGATCCCTTATCATATCCTCATAAGTCTCGTTTATTTTATCGGCCTTTTCTAGGAAATTCTTGAAAAACTTTATAAGCGTGGTTTTGAACTCTATATTCAGTCTCTTTTTGTCCTCCATTTCTTTCATTTGTGATCTGTTTCTTGTCTCAGCATTTTTGCAGCTTCCCTGAGTTGGTAGGGTGGCTTTGTGTGCTAAGGTGTCCCATATGGTTCAGTGGATCAGCCTCCCAGCTACCTGAGGTGGACACTCTTGGCCCACCCCTTTATTGTAGTTAAGTCTTGATTGTTGTTTGTATCACTGGGAAGAACTGACCTCTAGGCCAATTGGTTGTGAGGATCAGCTGTGTCTACGCTGGGAGACAGCCTTATTCGACTAGACTTAGAAAATTGCAAAAGCCTCTGTGTTCAGCTTGGATGGGGCAGAGTTTCAGGGTGGAGCCTACAGCCTTGGCTTCCTGTCAGCCCCACCCTATGAGGTTCCTGAGTCTCAGTGTTCCTCAGTGTCCTTTGGTACTCGCTGCTTTGGTACTCACTGCAAGCACCTCTGAGAGAAAGGTGCCCTTGAATTTCGCCCACTACCAGACAGTCTAGTCTCTCCCACAATGAGCCCGGAACTGGGGTTCAGTGCAGTTGGAAGTGGGGTTGGAAGTGGGGCTCAATGCAGTCTGGATCTTTTGTCTCCTTCCCACTAGGGCATTCCAGCGATACAGTCAACAGTCCGTACTCTGCACACGTGCATGCCTCTGGGACTCTGCCTTTTGCCGCTCCCCTGAGTTTCTGCCTTACAGCCCAGATTACCTCCATATGAGCCTGAGTCCCCAGGGTCTCACCCAGAACTGGGGTTCAGTGCAGTCGGAACTAGGGTTCAGCACAGTCCTGAGCTTTTATCTCCTTCCCGCTAGGGAACGCCTGCCAGGCACTCAGCCGCCCCCTCTTCCCCAACTCCGTCCTCTCCCTACACGTGTACTGTGTCTCCATACCTTAGGCTTTTACAGCTCTTCTGATTTTCCTTCTGGTTTTCTCTTTCCTTCTAGTTGTAGAATTTCCAATCAATCAACTTTCCTGTAGTTCTGGTTAATGTCCATTTTGTATCTTAGTTGTATTTTTTTGAAATTGTTGTGTGAGGCTGCAATTAGGCGTTTACCTATGCCTAACTGGTTTACCTATGCCATCTTGGTTTCTCTGAAATAAATTTGTTTTTAATTTTTAAAATAATGACAGAAAACTTCCCTACCTTGGTGAAGGAAATAAACATACAAGTCCAGGAAGTGCAAAAGAGTCCCCAACAAGATGAATCCAGAGAGTCCCACACCAAGACACATCATAATTAAAATGCCAAAGGTGCCAAAACCGGTTTGGCTCAGTGGATAGAGCATTGGCTTGGAGACTGAAGGGTCCTGGGTTCGATTCCGGTCAAGGGCACCTTGGTTGCAGGCACATCTCCACTAGAGGGTGTGCAAGAGGCAGCTGATCGATGACTCTCTCTCATCGATGTTTCTAACTCACTATCTCTCTCCCTTCCTCTCTGTACAAAATCAATAAAATATATTAAAATGCCAAAGGTTAAAGAGAAACAATCTTAAAACCAGTAAGAGAAAGGCAGTTAGTTATCTACATGGGAACGCCCATAAGACTGTCAGCTGATTACTCAAAAGAAACTTTGCAGGCCAGAAGAGAATGGCAAGAAATATTCAGTGATGAAAAGGACTTACAACCAAGATCATTCTACCCAGCAAAGCTATCATTTAGAATTGAAGAACAGAAAAAGAGCTTCAGGGAGAAACCAAGATGGCGGCATAGGGTAGACACCTAAATGCAGCCTACCACAACAATTTTGAATTTACAACTGGAAAATAGGGGAAACATCACCCTGAAGCGCCGGACGGCTGGCTAAAAGGCTTTACCATCTGGGAAGGGGAGAGAAGGGATGCTGAGCCTCAGGAACTGTGAAGGTGCGGAGAACTGTGCGTGTGAAAAGGCAGCCACTGAGTTCACTGCTGGCTTACTTCTGGCGAGCGAAGAGGATGCACAGCTATCGTGCGGCTGGCTTTCTTGTTTGGGAGGAAAACAAAACAACCCTATTGCTCTAATAGATGACCCTATTCAAGGAGAGGCCGAACTTTCAGGCAGTGAGCAGAGATCTCTCGGAGGTGGGTGAAGCCAGCAGCCATTACTGCGGGACTCAGGAACCAGAACCTCGTAGGGAGGAGCTGACTGGAAACCAAAGCCTATCTACACCACCCCGAGACTCTGCCCCATCCAAGCAAAACACAGAAGCCCGCCAGGAGGCTGGCTTTCTCATTTGGGAGGAAAAAAACAAAAAACTCTCAACTGCACTGAAAGACAACTCTGAGCCAGGGAAAAACTGGCTGTCAGGGACGAGGCAAAACTCGAGAACACCTTTTACCCAAGAGTAGCACGCACCAGCAACCAATCTTGCAGGACTTGTTGCAAATAGGACTTTCCTAAGGCGGGACTGACGGGCAACCAAAGCTTGTCTGCGCCACCCCAAGTCTCCACTCCATCCAAGCAGAGCACAGAAGCCCTCCTAGCTGAGACACTACTGATCCTCAAAGCCAATTGGCTTGGAGATCAACGCTTCCCAGTGATATCAACAATAAGCAAGGCTTAACAACAAGACTGCACACACAGCCCACAAAGGGCTGCACTTTGACTGCACACCTCAGGTAACTGGGAAGGCTGTGCTACTGGGCTCTACTAGAATACCCAGCACACAAAACTATTCCATCAAATCAGGGAAGCAGCTAAAATTCAGAGAAGAGGCATGACACAATGGAAGAAGATTGAAGAAAGTAAAAGAATGGGCATTGATTCAAAACTACAGTTATAAGGTTTATCAAGAATTTCCTAAAAAAGGCCTATAAAATAAACGAGACCTATGAGGATATGAAAGGGATCAACTAGAAATAAGAATACATTGTCTGAAATAAAAAATATTATACAGAGTCCTAAAAACAGAATGGAAGATTGCAGGAATCAAGACAAAGATATAGAACACAAAGAGCCAGAGGACACTCCTCCACAGAAGCTAAACGGCAAGAGAATCCAGAAAATTGAAGATAATGTAAGAAACCTCTGGGACAATTTCAAGCGAACCAACATCAGAATTATGGGGGTCCCAGAAGAAGAGAGAGAGCAAGATACCAAAAACATATTGGAAGAAATAGTGACAGAAAACTTCCCCCACCTGGTGAAAGAAATAGACTTACAAGTCCAGGAAGCGCACAGAACCCTAAACAAAAGGAATCCAAAGAGGACCACACGAAGACACATCATAATTAAAATTCTAAGAGCAAAAGACAAAGAGAGAATATTAAAAGCAGCAAGAGCAATGCAGGTAGTTACCTATAAAGGAGCACCCATACGAATGTCAGCTGATTTCTCAACAGAAACCATGCAGGCCAGACGGGAATGGCAAGAAATATTCAAGGTGATGAATAGCAAGAACCTACAGTCAAAAATACTCTACCCAGCAAAACAATCAATCAGAATTGAAGGCCAGATAAAGAGCTTCACTAATAAAAAAAAAAAGCTAAAGGAGTTCATCACCGCCAAACCAGAATTATATGAATTGCTGAAGGGGGTTCTTTAGGAAGAGGAAGAAAGTAAAGATAAAATTATGAACAACAAATATGTAACTATCAACAAGTGAATCTAAAAACCAAGGAAATTAAAAAATCTGATGAACAATATTAACTGTTGAATATAATAGAATCAGAGGTATGGAAGGGGAGTAGACTGACGATTCTCGGGGAAAAGGGGAATGGAGGGTCCAGGAAGAGACTGAACAAAAAATGTGCACCTATGGATGAGGACAATGGGGGATGGGGAAAAGGCAAAGGGTGGGGTGGGAACCTGGTGGAGGGGAGCAATGAAGGGGGGGAACATTTTTAATAATCTGAACAATAAAGATTTATTTAAATTTATTTATTTAAAAGAAAAGAGCTTCATAGACAAAATGCTAAAGGAGTTCATCACAAAAAAAAAAAAGTTCATCACCACCAAACCAGCATTACATGAAATACATGGGTATTCTTTAAAAAGCAAAAAAAAAAAAAAAAAAGATAAAAAATATGAAAAATAAAATGGCAATAAATACATATCTATCAACAACTGAATCTAAAAATCAACATAAGTAAACAAGGCATCTAATGAATAAAATAAACTGATGAATAAAATAGAACCGGAGGCATGGAAACATGGAACAGACTGATGAATCTTATAGGGAAAGGTGAGACAGGGGAGAGATTAACTGGAGAACTTATATTCATTACCCATGGAGACAGACAATAAAGTAGTGAAGGCTTGGGAGAGGGCAGGAACCAGCAGGAGGGGGGGAAATGGAGAGACAGCTGTAATATTCTCAACAATAAAGGTTTTTTAAAAGCTCATTGGTATTATTTGATCATAAAACATAAATATAAATTACTTAGATATACATGCTTTTATATATGATGTAATTATTGCTACTAAATATAACACCAAATGCCAAAGATAATACCTTGGATTGGAGAAAAATGATGCTCTTGTAGCTTTTCCTGAGAGAGGAGTCCCAAGTAGCTGAGAACAACATACTTTGTTTCATAGTGAAATCCCAGAGGCACAGAAGTAGAAGACGCCATTGAGTTGGGTGGCAGAGCTCCAAAAAGGTCTATTAACAGATGTGTAAAACCTAAAAATATGAAAGCATTTTTTCAGTTTAAAGTTTATTACATGCTGCTCAACCACTGTTGTCACCAGTGGTTGAGCACAGACCTATAACTGGGTGTCATGGTGTCATAGTTTGATTCTGGATCAAGGCACATGCGCAGATTGTGGGCTCAACTCCTGGAGGTAAAGGCAGGGGGATGGAAGGGGGGGGGGGGGAGGGAGCGTGTGCAGAAGGCAGCCAGTCAGTGATTCTCTCTCATCATCAATAAAAATATTTTTTAAATGAAGTTTATTACATGCTAATAAATTTTCTCCTTGACTTCAATTGTCAACTAAATACCAAAATAAGTATTTCTAAGACTTTTCTTCTATGTAATGTTTTACAAATATATTTATTTACAAGTGTTAATTTATTCAGATTTCATATAAAAAATAACTTCCCTCTCTCCTTAGTTTATTTTCACATATATGTCAAAAACATTAGACATGCCTCCACTGCACCTCTATCCAGTATGTTCTCTTGTTTCCATTAACTAATAAAGTCTCCTAAGTTGTGGCCACACAGCTGCCAATTATATTTCCTAGTCTCCTTTGCAACTTAATGTATCATATGATCAGTCTTAGCCACAAAAATATGAGTAGAAGTTATATCTGCAATTTTTGGGTCTTTCCTCAAAGAATTTCTGTTCCCTCCTTTCTATGGTTTGAAATGTGAATATGCAAACATGCAAAAAAGAACACCATCTTAGAGGCAGTGAAGCAACAAGACAGAAGGAACCTGTATTCCAGAATGACCATGTAGAACAGAGTGACCTTACCAGCCTGATCACTAGCTTCTGGACTGTTATTTAAGCGCTTATGTTCTGAATCTTTTCATTAGGCTTCCTAACTTTTCCGCTAGTCAACAACACAACTACTCTCCCTTTTTTACCTGGACTTAGTAGAAGTTTTACCTAGCATGTATCTTTTTATTTCTTTCTTTTTTTTTTTTTTTAATATGTTTATATTGCCCAGCTGGCTAAATGGTTAAGCATCGAGCTATGAACTAGGTAGTCACGGTTTGACATGCTGGGTTGTGGGTTCAATCCACAGTGTGGAGCATGCAAGAAGCAGCCAATCAATAGTTCTCTCTCATCACTGATGTTTCTCTCTCTTTCTCTCTCTCTCTCCTCTCTCTCTCTCTCTCTCTCTCTCTCTCTCTCTCTCTCTCTCTCTCTCTTCCTCTCCCTCTCCCTCTTCCTCTCCCTCTCTCCCTTTCTCCCTCTTTCCCTCCCTCCCTCTCTGTTCCTCTCTGAAATCAATTTAAAAAAAATTTAAATATAGTTTTTATTGATTTTTTTATAGAGAAGAAGGGAGAGGAATAGAGAGTTAGAAATATCGATGAGAGAGAAACATCAATCAGCTGCCTCCTACATAACCCCTACTGGGGATGTGCCCGCAACCAAGGTACATGCCCTTGACCGGAATCGAACCTGGGACCCTTCAGTTCACAGGCTGATGCTCTATCCACTGAGCCAAACCAGTTTTGGCCAATAAAAATTTTTTTAATGTTTTTATTAATCTTTAGAGAGATAGAAACATCGATGAGAGAGAAACATAATTGATTGGTTGCCTCCTGCACATCCCTCACTGGGGATGGAGACCACAACCCAGGCATGTACCCTAAACCAGAATCAAACTATGAACTCCTGGTTCATGGGTCGATGCTCAATCACTGAGCAGAATTGGCCAGGCTATCTATTTCAGATTTACTCTCAACATATTCGCTCTCTCTTTTCTGGAGCCCACCTTCTTCCCTCTTTTGTCCCTCTCTCTCCCTCTTTCTCCTAAGCTCCAGAGGCCCTTCTTTTGCTTCTGTAACTTGTTTCCTGAATTTATTTCTTCTACGGCTCACTTCTTCTACCTCTGTGGCTTTCTAAATAAACTTTCTCTTATAACTTAAAATAAGTAAATAAATAAATTTACTCTCACATGCTGTACAGCTGAGTGTAATACAAATATTGAATGTAAACTGTAATTGAAAAAAGTTTTAATTAGAAAAAGATTTATGCGCTTAGCAACTTTCAAATATGCAGCAGAGTATTATTAACAGTCACCATGATGTACAGTATATCCCCAAAAATGATTTCTTTAGTAACTGAAAATCTATACCTGTTGACCCCTACTATGTACCTTATTAGGTGTTTCCAATCATAATATCTCATTAAGAGGTTTCCAAATAACTGTTTTCTACTTAAAACAACAATACAGACTTGTTTTAAGATCTCAAGAAATATCCAGTAGCCCTGGTCAGTGTGAAAATTGCTTGAGCATTTTCCAGTACACCAAAAAGTTGCTGGTTCAATACCAGGTCAGGGCAAATGCCCAGGTGTGGGCTTGATTCCCCAATAGGGGGCATGCAAGAGGCAGCCAATAGATGTTTCTCTCCCTCTATCTTTAAAAAAAAAAAAAAAAAAAAAATCAGCCCTAACGGGTTTGGCTCAGTGGATTGAGCATCAGCCTGTGGTCTGGAAGGGTTCTATTCCAGTTAAGGGCATGTACCTTGGTTGTGGGCACATACCCAGTAGGGAGTGTGCAGGCGGCAGCTGATCCATGTTTCTCTCTCATCGATGTTTCTAACTCTCTATCCCTCTCACTTCCTCTCTATAAAAAAATCAATAAAATATATATTTTTAAAAATCAATAAAAACATTTTAAAAAAAGAAAAGGAGCTTCAGATAGCTAACAATAGGAAAAAGAGATAGGCAAGGTTGGCAAAATTTAAGATTTGTAAAAAGCAAACTAAGAGAAATGTCCTAGAATAATTATTATATCTATCTTCTGGGGGCAATGCTACTAAAATTATATCAAAATATCCAATTAATCAACAATATGCCTTGGACTGCCCTGCTCCAACTTTAAGTTCCCATAAACTTCAGAAAGGTATATTTAAAAATTATTAATACAGCCGAAGCCGGTTTGGCTCAGTGGTCTGCAAACTGAAAGGTCCAGGTTTGATTCCGGCCAAGGGCATGTACATTGGTTGCAGGCACATTCCTGGTAGGGGGTGCACAAGAGGCAGCTAGCTGGTCGATGTTTCTCTCTCATTGATGTTTCTAGCTCTCTATCTCTCTCCCTTCCTCTCTGTAAAAAATCAATAAAACATATTTTAAAAAGTTATTAATACATATGCCAAAGAAAGGGAAAAGGTATTTTAACTTACATCACAGGAATAAAAGCAACATTTCTTGTGTTTTCACAGGGTATTCAAAATATTTGATGACAAAAGAAAAAAAGAGAAAAAGAAAATATATTTGATTACACTTTTACACTGTTATTACCATTTAATAATGAAGGCAGTGTTTCAAATTTACAAATAATAAAAGAGAAACCCATAAAAGTAGGGTATGTTTTTATTGATTTTTAGAGTGGAAGGGAGAAACATCAGATGCCTCCCACATGCCCTAAGGATCGAATCCACAACCTAAGTATGTGCCCTGAACAGAAACCAAAGCACAACTTTTTGGTGTATGAGATGGAACTTGAACTAACTTAGCCACCCAGCCAGCCAGAGCTAATTTCATTTTTTTTGTTGTTTTTTTGTTGTTGTTGTTGTTTTACTTTTTTGCCTACCAGCCAGCCATCTGACCTCAATTCCCTATCATGCATCCAAATGGAGCATCCAAAGTGTCAATCGTAGTAGAAAACAAATCCCCCGCCACAAAAGCTAAAACTGACTAGGTATTTTCTCTCCTATTCTGGTCAATGGACCCAGGCTACAAATATGTGATCTGGGTGCAGACAAATCAGAGGTTCTTGATTTGGAATCTAAAAAGACATTTAAAGGTAATTTTTGGAAAAGAGTTGGTGTGGATTCAGCAAAGGCAGTGGTGCAAATCCAGTAGCAGTATGCTAACTATTCTATTCCCGGGCCAGACCTTGGCTGAGTGTGCAGCAGTCTCCCTTGGTTCCTGCCTATTTCCCACACCTAATTTTCCACCTTTCCCATCCATTCTGTGATAAATCCAATACCTTTGCAGTAAGTTCCTTTCTGCTCAAAAAAGCTAAATTTCTTTGTGTTGTTTGTAACCAAGACCTAACTGGAATCTACTTTTCTTTTTTTAATATATATATTTTATTGATTTTTTACAGAGAGGAAAGGAGAGGGAAAGAGAGTTAGAAACATCGATGAGAAACATCAATCAGCTGACTCCTGCACATCCCTACTGGGGATGTGCCTGCATGCCCTTGACCAGAATCAAACCTGGGACCCTTGAATCTACAGGCCGACGCTCTATCCACTGAGCCAAACCGGTTAGGGCTGGAATCTACTTTTCTTAAAACTTTTAAGGCAGTTTCCAAATGAATATAACATACTACATTCTAAAAGATTACTAGATTATAGTTTAGAAAATCTTCTAATTCTACAAAGTCCACATACAGACTAATAATTACATCTATTAAAATAAACGATAGTGCCTTCTGACAATTTTTTGTATTCATTCCACACACATCTTAAGATATAAGGTACTCGCTCAATCAGTGTGGCTCAGTGGTTGAGTGTCAACCTAGGAACCAGAAGGTCACCCAGCCAGAGCTAATTTCACCTTTCAATTCCCAGTCAGGGCACATGCTCAGGATTCAGGCTCCATCCCCACTAGGGGGCATGCAGAAGGCAGCCAAACAATGATTCTCTTTCATCATTGATGTTTCTCTTTCTCCTTCCTTCTTCTCTGAAATCAATAAAATATATTAAAGAAAAAAAGGTACTCTGTAGGCATTAGACATAAAGACAACTAAGATAAATCACTGCCTGTTATAGTAATAGTAATAAGTATAAAATACAATATAGAATAAGTATTAAAGTGTGGAATTGAAGTGTGATATCTTAAAAGTATGAATGGAATGTAACTAAATTGATAAGCACCCTTGAGTGGCCTGTATGTAGAAAATAAAGTGATCTGTACCCCATATGTAAAACCAGAAGGCAAGG